TTTTTGGAACATCTTTATAAAGTGACAACTCCGGTACCTTTCTAAAATATGGGGTACCGTACTTATCATTCATTTTATTGGACCACATCACTTTATCATTTTTAATTTAGATTTAAATAATTCAAGTGCTATATTTTCATTGGTCCATGTGGACAAAGGTATGGTACCTTATGGGTACCATAGAATCTACCTCTTTATAATCCTATTATACTCCCTCCGTCCCCCAATTAAGTTTTGTGTTTGACTTCACAGGTTTTAAGAAAATAAATTTGACTTTACTGTAGAGTGCACTATTTGGCACTGTTTGGACACAGTTTGGACACTGTTTGGCACTGTTTAAACACTGTTTGGCACTGTTTGACACTGTTTTGATGTAGATTATTTGCCAAATAAGAAAAGTATTGAAGTGTGGACTTAATTTAGGGAGTGCCTAAAAAGGAAAGTGAGAACTTAATTGGGGGACGGAGAGAGTAATATCTACTCATGATAATGTGAACATCTTTAATTGAGCTTAGACTCAAATTTAATCTTTGTACATCTTTTACACACTATGCCTCTGTTTTGTACGAGCAATTCATCAGAACCGGGAGAGCTAACCTGACAAGAATCGCAATGACAAAGTCTATTAAATTTTCTACACAATACTATTATGATAAACCAATTTAAGTCTATAATATTTTAGGGGTCACTATTTCATTAAGATTGTGATAGGATGGCTTGAAGATTTTTTATTGTATTGTACCACCTTATTTGATACTTTTTCATCTAATTTTTTTATTTGATACACTTTTGGATGGAACCTTGAATAATATAATTAAAGGGTTTACATTTGCTAATGGCATGTTCTCATGCGCCATGAATGTCACTCATTTAAGTGATATTACTCGTGGTAATTACGTGATTTTGATGATATGGGTGAGTAGATATTGAGCTTGCTGGTTAAAAGATGGTAATCAAGTAAGTCATGTATGTGGGTCATGCACAAAGTGGATCATGCATGAACCCATGTGCAAAGGCTTCTGCGCGAACCCATGTGCAAAGGCTTCTGCGCGAACCACTACCCGTGTGCGAACCTCCCTTATGCGCAAACATGAGTCATGTGCGAAATCAGGTCATGCGTGAACCATCCTATGCGGAAAATACACTCATGCGCGATCTTGAACCATGCGCGAAAAGACTCTATGCGCGAATGCTAATCATGCGTGATGTGGGACTTAGAAAAAATTTCAAAATTCACCATTGCACATGAATTAACAATTTATCATTTTCAAATCAGATGGCAGAACTAACAACTATCGAGACTATCTACGGGAAAGAAAGTCGGTGCCCAGTCAAAGAGAACAAGTCGGAGTTTGACCCTAAAGTCTTCTCTTGTCAGGATGATGTCGTAGTGGTCGTACTCAAAGGGCACAGAATCCGGAAAGCCCTGAACAAAACTGCTTAAGTGCCAGAGGTATATCTCCAACAATTCTGGGGAACACTCTGGTGCTAGCATTCTGAATGTTACCATTGATGACATTGCGGTCACCATCACCAAAGAGTTGTTTCATCAAGTGCTACAGATTCCAGTCCAGGTCCATTTTGATGAACTTGCTTCTGAAGAGCAAATAATGGCCGATATGATCACTCGAGGTCATGCTATGCCAATCAAGTTGATCTCCGAGGTCAAGCCAGGGAGATTACCAAGACCGTGGAGGACTCTGCTCGCAACGCTCAACAAGTCCTCACTGCCAAGCACTCAGGCTTTGACAAGTGCAACACCTACATTTTGACAATCTTCCACGACATCGCATTCAACAAGGCCACGGCTATGTCTCCCTGATCTGGGATGACATCAAAGAGCTGATCAGAAATAGGGACGGGACCAATCAGGTCCTTCATCTGCTCTACATGTGATGGTTCTCCACGCTGGTGAGAAGATTCTGCAGGACAACTCCCACTATCCACCGGAGACTAACCACTGAGCACATTGTCAATCCCGCACCGAAATATTTGCAGAAAGTCAAAGACGACTCTTCCCTGATTCCGCTTCCACTATCAGTTCCTCTTCTGCAGTTAGTCGATCCAGAAGAGGCATCAGCCATTCACTACTGCAAGAGGAACAATATCATACTCCTGATGGCTCAGATAACCCCCCTGAATCTGCCTAAGGGAGTAAGCCGAGTGTAACTGAGGGTCCTGAGATTTCAACCCAGCCACAGATGTCAATGGCAGACCGGCCCCATGGTGATTAGACTACGGCTGATGGGGGTCACCCCCAAATTGTTGAGGGTGCTTCCCGTGATTCATTCAGCTCAGCCAAAGCAATAAATGTTGGTGATGAAGACTCTGGTAGCAAGGCTGAAAAAAGTAGAAAAGACGACGACGTTGAGGAAGGTGATGATGTCAATAACGACGTTAATCAAGCAAGGGTTGAACCTGTCACGCCCCGGACCTACCGGACACGTCAACAACCCGCCGTACAGTACGAATAGTCAACCGCAGTCCAACTCATACATACTATACTAGGCGTCTTGAATACCATTCACACATAGTACATCCATAAACAAACATAATGTAAAATATTCATTTAAAGCAGCGGAAACATTAATACACGTATTCAAGCCACACGTGGCAAACATGGGCATACAAGCCCCCAAATAGTATTCAAAATAATTTCCATGAGCATTATTGTAATTGTTTAAAACAGAAACGGAAGAAGCACGAACCACGTCCTCCTCCTTTGATCTTCCCGAAGCAACGGGCGTGGTAGCAACCTTCAAGTCCTACCTGAAACTGTGAGGTGGCCTCCCCCGTGAAGGGGAGGTCAGTACTTGGAAGCATTTGACAAGTACAATGACAACTATACTAAGTATAATCAACGTTTCAATTTCCAAGACCCTCAAATAGGGTGATATTACAATATAGGCCATAACTCGTGGTTACCCTCTTTACAAAGATACTTACTTTATATATAAAGTCAAGTAGTCGGCCGAAGGCTCATGTTTACTTTGAAAACATTTAACCCCTCCCCCGTGACTTCAAGCCACACCCATCTATATCAGTTTACCATGCTAGAGGCTTCCTCTAGTCATGTTTTGTCGTGCTAGAGGCTGACTCTAGTCACTACATTCGGTGTTAGAGGCTTCCTCTAATCACCTTTCATACTTTGTGCTGGAGGCTTCCTCCAGTCACATTACATTATGCTAGAGGCTTCCTCTAGTCATGTTTTGTCGTGCTAGAGGCTGACTCTAGTCACTACATTCGGTGTTAGAGGCTTCCTCTAATCACCTTTCATACTTTGTGCTGGAGGCTTCCTCCAGTCACATTACATTATGCTAGAGGCTTCCTCTAGTCATCTTACACTACGCTAGAGGCTTCCTCTAGTCGTCCTACACGAATGCTGGAGGCTTCCTCCTGTCATTCCTCATCGTGCTAGAGGCTTCCTCTAGTCACGATACTACTCACTAAGCAAATTCTATGCCTAGGTTTTCTCTATCTTGAGTAGCCTATGAGGCCTACTCCTAATGTAATTTAGCGGTTACCCATTCCTACCTTAAGACATCTCATAAGACTACTTAAGGTGCACCCTTCACAATCCAAGCCCTTAGGATTTGTTCTATCACTTTTTACGCTAACATCCCCGGCTAGTATTTCTATACTAATCATTTAACCTTAATAAGCCAATGCAATTTCATAGTAATTTGGCTATTTCAATTTAATTCCACATTCAAGTATAACTTGGTTCTAATATCAAAATATCACTTTTATCCTTCCATGACTTCCTTACATGAGGTAAAAGTATATTTATCACAATTCATTTATAGTTTACACGCTATTATACCATTGTATTCATAATACATAATCATACACAATTTATTCATAAATTTGTATATTATGCACTTTTACTTATAAACAATAATAATCTCATTTAGGCATTTTGTTATATTATAAATAAATCATGCCAAACACATATAATTCATTTAGGTAATCTTATGAAATTAACCCAATAATTATAAGCAATATAGTCGGTCATCCTCACCTTAATTGAGCTTCAAACCTTTCTTTCTTGATCCCATGGTCAAAGCTTTGGCCAAGGAAGATTGAGAACTGATTCCTTGCTTGGAATTGAGTGTTAAACAGCCTCTCCAAAGTGCTAGTTCAACTCCTAACCGAGGACACAAAAACAGTCCCTAGAACGGGTGTTCCCGACGAAATCGTTCCCTAACCTTTCAAGGTTTTGTCTAGATTAGTATCTAACTTTTCCAACAATTAAAGTCACTTTATAATAACATTTTATACACTTCAATCAGTGTATAATAGTTCTTCAATCATTTATATGGTTTAGACAATAGAGAGGAAAGTTTTGGATTCAAACTTACCTTGAATACAAAAACGTATTCCGCGAGGTTGTGTTTTGCTCGGACGATTTGGAAGCCTTCCACTACTCCGATTGATGCAAACCAGACCTTCACGGATTCCTCGTCTTGAGAGCTTTCTGTGGGTATCTCGCACGCCTTATTTGGATGTGTATAACTCGAGATATGAAGCAAACAAGTAACCTTACGCACTGGAAAACGAACCTGCGGCAGCTTCCCCTTTCTCTTGCTTTCTTGGTTGTGTGGCTCTCTCCTTCTCCCTTATCCTTGGGAGTTCGAATGAGGGGCTTAAGGGAGTGTCCAAGACCCTTCAATAAGGGTGGATAAGTTGTGTGGAGTGAAATGAATTGGTATGGTCTCCATGAGATGTTTTTAGACATGGGTGGGTCTCACTTTTGATCTCTTTGTCATAAGATGTCTCTTTGTACTCATTCTAATTTATTTAGAACAAGTCAACTCTCTACATCATATTATTGATCTCCATTATGTGTATGATCATCCCAATAATTTACTTGATGGATATTATAGAAGGAAAATCCTACTCCCATTATTTAGCTCAATAATGCCAAAGATGGGGTTATAGGCATTTGTATTCTTCTTTAATCATTCTATCACTTATTTGACATTTGTCATACATATTAATGGGCTACTAGCCATGTGGGTCACTCCCGAGTGGGTCTAGAACGCCATTCTCGAATACTTGCTATTTTTAGCAGGTTGGACTCAAAATAACGTTTGGGCCGTCCGACCTTACTCGGACTGTCTTGAAAGGTCATGTATCACAATTTGGATAATGTTGGGCTCTTTTATTTATTAATAAGACCCAAAAAGTATTTGCATGCCCGTCACTAATATACGAGTTCGAACAGTACACTAATCGATCATTAATTACGTAAAACATTAATCGTTTTACAATTGTTTGGGAAACAGAAATCCAATACATAAACTTTGAATTTTTAAATCAAATTTTCAAGGACGTTCGGGCGCGGTGTCACAAGTTCACCCCCCCTTAACAGGAATTTCGTCCCCGAAATTCACAGCTCTACTCGAATAGGGAAGCATACTGCTTCCTCATCAAAGCCTCTGTTTCCCACGTCTCTTCTTCGACCCGATCGCTCTTCCAAAGTACTTTAACCATTGGGACTTCTTTGCTCCTCAGTTTCTTCACCTTCCTATCGGTGACCTTGATAGGTTGCACAGCGTAGTTCAAATCCTCACGTACCTCTACAGGTGGTTTCTTCAATACGTGAGAGGGATCATGCACATACTTCTTAAGCATGGATACATGAAATACATTATGTATCTTCTCTAATTCAGGAGTTAACTGCAGACGATATGCTACGGCCCCAATCTTTTCTATAATTCTGAATGGACCTATGTATCGGGGATTAAGCTTTCCTCGGGTTTGGAATCGTATGATTCCTTTCCAAGGAGAAACTTTCAAGAATACCTCGTCATCAACCTTAAACTCTAAGGTTCTCCGGCGCTTATCTGCATAACTCTTTTGTCTATCCTGAGCCGCCTTGAGTCTCTCTCGAATCAACTTTACCTTTGACTTGGTGATCTCCACCAACTCAGTACCCTCGAGTTTGGCCATGCCAACCTCGTCCCAGCATAACGGTGTACGACACCTCCTCCCATACAATGCCTCGTATGGAGGCATGCCGATGCTTGCCTGATAACTGTTGTTATAGGCGAACTCCACAAGTGCTAAGTGGTTGTCCCAACTCCCTTGGAACTCCAATGCACACGCCCTCAGCATGTCTTCTAAGATCTGTATGACTCTTTCAGACTGTCCATCTGTCTGTGGGTGGAAAGCAGTACTGAACTTCAACCTCGTTCCCATAGACTCTTGAAATTTTGGCCAAAAACGTGACGTGAATCGTGGGTCTCTATCGGATACAATGGTCACTGGAACACCATGTAACCTCACGATCTCGTCCGTATAAAATTTGGCTAACCTCTCGAGTGGGTAGGTAGTGTTGATAGGTAAAAAGTGTGTCCTCTTTGTGAGCCTATCAACAACAACCCAAACCGCGTCATAGTTCCTGATAGTCCGTGGTAAGCCTACCACGAAATCCATAGTCACGTGCTCCCACTTCCATTCAGGGATGGAAAGTGGTTGTAATAAGCCTGCTGGATGCTGATGTTCTGCCTTAACTTGTTGATAAGTAAGGCATCGACTGATGTACTCGGCTATTTCCCTCTTCATCCCAGACCACCAGTAACTTTCTTTCAAATCACGGTACATTTTCGTGCTCCCAGGGTGCATGGCATAAGCCGATGAATGAGCCTCCTCTAAGATGGACTTTCGGAGCTCATCATCTGACGGTACACACACTCGGTCACGAAATAACAAGAGACCATCGTCTCTTTCCCTGAAATCCTCCACCGGTCCCGCTTGCATGCGTTCCCGGACCTTCATAAGTTCTGTGTCCGTCTCTTGACCCTTCTTGATCTCCTCAAGTAAGGTTGGTCTCACTTCGAATCGTGCCAATAAGGCACCGTCGTTAGATACATCCAATTGGGCCCTCAGTGCCCTCAAACTAGTCAACAATGCCCCAGACGAACTCTTCCGACTGAGGGCATCTGCTACAACGTTTTCCTTGCCTGGATGGTACTCAATAACTAGATGGTAGTCCTTTATCAACTCCATCCACCGTCTCTGTCTCATGTTTAACTCTTTCTGAGTAAACACGTACTTCAAGCTCTTATGATCAGTATATATGTGACACGTCTCTCCGTAGAGATAATGTCTCCAAATCTTCAGTGCAAACACTACTGCTCCAGCTCCAGATCATGGGTAGGATAATTTACCTCATGCTTCTTCAACTGTCGCGAAGCATAGGCAATTACCCTCCCCTCCTGCATCAACACACACCCAAACCCTTGGATGCTCGCATCACTATAGACATCGTACCCCATACCCTGTTTGGGTAATGCAAGTACCGGTGCCTCGGTCAACCTCTTCTTCAGTTCGATGAATCCTTTCTCACATTTGTCATCCCATATAAACTTAGTTCCCTTTCGAGTGAGCTTCGTCAACGGCGATGCCAAAACGGAGAACTTCTCCACGAACTTTCTGTAGTAGCCTGCCAACCCAAGGAAACTACGAATTTCCTTGACATTCTTTGGTCTCTCCCACTCGGTAATGGCTTCTATCTTCTTGCTATCAATGGCAATTCCCGATCCCGAAACTACATGCCCGAGAAAGCCAATTTCCTTTAGCCAAAATTCACATTTAGAGAATTTGGCATAGAGTTGCTTCCCCTGTAGCGTCTCGAGGACAAGTATCAAGTGCTCCTCATGTTCTTCTTCACTCCTTGAGTAAATCAAGATGTCATCTATGAACACGACCACGAATCGATCCAAGCATTTATGGAATACTTGGTTCATCAAGTCCATGAATGCCGCTGGGGCATTTGTTAACCCAAACGACATAACGAGGAACTCAAAATGCCCATACCTTGTGCGGAAAGCACTCTTTGGTATGTCATCTTTCTTGATCTTCAATTGATGGTACCCCGACCTCAAGTCAATCTTCGAAAACACGGTTGCTCCTCGTAGTTGATCAAACAAGTCATCAATCCTAGGCAAAGGATACCTATTCTTGATTGTGACCTTGTTCAGTCGACGATAGTCAATGCACATTCGAAGTGTCCCACCTTTCTTTTTCACAAAAAGAACTGGTGCTCCCCACGGGGAGTGTCTTGCTCTAATGAAACCATTATCCAATAGCTCTTGCAATTGGGTTTTCAATTCATTAAGTTCAGCGGGTGCCATACGGTATGGCGGTATGGAGATTGGTTTGGTACCAGGCTCGACCTCGATCACAAATTCAATCTCCCTATCAGGTGGAAGCCCCGGTAGGTCTTTAGGGAAGACATCCGGATACTTACAAACCACCCTCACATCATCGATGTTCGTTTCCTCTTTGGTTTTGTCAACCACGTATGCTAGATATGCGTGGCATCCCTTTCTCATCATACTTCTCGCTCTCACGGCGGATATGATACAGCTATTTGATCTCCCTCGATCGCCCTCGAAGCGTAGGGTCTCCCCATCATTGCCTTCGAGTTTAAGAACCTTCGTGTAGCAATCTACCCTAGCATGGTTCCTTTCTAGCCAATCCAACCCTAGGATTGCATCGAATTCAATCATGCTCAGCGGTACGAAGTCACACGTCAAGGTTTGACCATTAACTTCCACCCCACAAGATGGATAGTAATGAGTTGTTTCCACGTCATCCCCTAGTGGTGTTGATACCACTAAGGTTTGCATCAATGGTGCGGATTGCACTTCCAAACTCTTGGCGAACGCTTCATTCACAAATGAACGTTGCGCCCCCGGTATCGATAAGGATTCGCGCATCCTTCCCATTAATCTTTAGTGTCCCTACATTCATGAACCATGTAAGACATCTTTCCTACCCTCCCTACTCATTTAGAGAGGTTTATTATGTTCACACACGTGTTTGAGATCAAGAACGGGTCTTAACGTTGCAATACGGCGCAAAAAAGTCGACTTTGGGCTGTCCAGGAGGTACGCACGGCGTGCCTAGGAGGTACGCACGGCGTGCGTGTCTTATAACCTCAAAACGGAGCTACTGCCACCAACGCACGGACCAACGCACGGACAACGCACGTCCGTGCGTATAGCAATTTCTTCCCGGTTGCTACTGCCACCAACGCACGGACCAACGCACGGACAACGCACGGACAACGCACGGCCGTGCGTATAGCAATTTCTTCCCGGTTGCTACTGCCACCAACGCACGGACCAACGCACGGACAACGCACGGCCGTGCGTAGGGTCCAGCCTGGTGTGCATTGGCGGAAATAAGCCGTCTTTCGCCCGATTTCGCTCCGTTTGATCCCAAAATTTCGTGCAATGATCCCAACGATTAGCAACCTCAATTTATGGACTAATTAAGGATAAAAAACAAGTATACAAGAGGTACTACCTTCAACGGAATCCAGGTTAGCTTGAGCATCCGCCTCCGTCATCGCATAGACCCTAGCTTGGGTCCTTCCTTGGTTCACGGATGGCGCGTTGCTCGTGCTTGCTCCCCCATGTCCCCTGCTCCCTTGAGAAACCTCGGTTTGGTTTTCATTTCTTGTAGTTCCACCACTTGACCCCGAAGTTTGGTTTTGCACAATTTGTGGGCAACTCACTCTCGTGTGCCCGACCTCTGTGCATTGATAGCACCTGGGAGGGTCCTGACACTTACCCGAGTGGTGTTTCTTGCAATTGTTGCACTTAGGTACCCTCGAACCTTTTGACCTCGAGTTCGGGCCACCCAAGCCTCGACTCCACTCAAGTGATAGTGTCTACGCCCTGAAGGTTTTGTCACCCTCAACGTTTGTCCTCCTTGAATGTCTTTGGAAATCGTTGTCTCCCCGCTTCCTTTTCCTTACTAATGGTATGCCCTCAGCTTGCCTAGCTTGGCGTTTTTGTATAAGCCTCACACGTTCACGTTGAAGCCAATCTATGACCATGCCCATTTGTTCAATGGGTGCACCATCAAGGTCCTCATCACTCAAATCATCTCCTTCGTCACCCGAAGCCTTGAGTGGTTCAGTTTTGCCATAACAAGGTGATTCTTCCTTGGTCTTAACATGACCACCACTCACGATTTGAGCTTCAAGAGTTTCGTGCGCCTTTGGTCCTAAGGGCTTTTCTCGGTTGGCATGCCCGGTTCCACCCGGTGCAAACCCTTCCGAGTTCTCCCTATTCATAATACCACCATCACCCTCCATCGCTGAAAGAAATAATTAGAATGAGTCATTAGACTCGTTTCAAATGTCAACTGACAGATAGGCACTTAAGACATCTCTTGGGCCAAGTCACCGCCATACCAATCGTTAAGGGCGCCATCTTAACAATTAGAGACCTTGCAACTCAAACACCAAAAGTTCTTAAGTACAAAACATTTTTGCTCATGGTTTTCAAAAATCATTTTGAAAAGAGAATTTTGAGACTTCATTATGAAGTTTATGGACTAAGGCTCTGATACCAATTAAATTGTCACGCCCCGGACCTACCGGACACGTCAACAACCCGCCGTACAGTACGAATAGTCAACCGCAGTCCAACTCATACATACTATACTAGGCGTCTTGAATACCATTCACACATAGTACATCCATAAACAAACATAATGTAAAATATTCATTTAAAGCAGCGGAAACATTAATACACGTATTCAAGCCACACGTGGCAAACATGGGCATACAAGCCCCCAAATAGTATTCAAAATAATTTCCATGAGCATTATTGTAATTGTTTAAAACAGAAACGGAAGAAGCACGAACCACGTCCTCCTCCTTTGATCTTCCCGAAGCAACGGGCGTGGTAGCAACCTTCAAGTCCTACCTGAAACTGTGAGGTGGCCTCCCCCGTGAAGGGGAGGTCAGTACTTGGAAGCATTTGACAAGTACAATGACAACTATACTAAGTATAATCAACGTTTCAATTTCCAAGACCCTCAAATAGGGTGATATTACAATATAGGTCATAACTCGTGGTTACCCTCTTTACAAAGATACTTACTTTATATATAAAGTCAAGTAGTCGGCCGAAGGCTCATGTTTACTTTGAAAACATTTAACCCCTCCCCCGTGACTTCAAGCCACACCCATCTATATCAGTTTACCATGCTAGAGGCTTCCTCTAGTCATGTTTTGTCGTGCTAGAGGCTGACTCTAGTCACTACATTCGGTGTTAGAGGCTTCCTCTAATCACCTTTCATACTTTGTGCTGGAGGCTTCCTCCAGTCACATTACATTATGCTAGAGGCTTCCTCTAGTCATGTTTTGTCGTGCTAGAGGCTGACTCTAGTCACTACATTCGGTGTTAGAGGCTTCCTCTAATCACCTTTCATACTTTGTGCTGGAGGCTTCCTCCAGTCACATTACATTATGCTAGAGGCTTCCTCTAGTCATCTTACACTACGCTAGAGGCTTCCTCTAGTCGTCCTACACGAATGCTGGAGGCTTCCTCCTGTCATTCCTCATCGTGCTAGAGGCTTCCTCTAGTCACGATACTACTCACTAAGCAAATTCTATGCCTAGGTTTTCTCTATCTTGAGTAGCCTATGAGGCCTACTCCTAATGTAATTTAGCGGTTACTCATTCCTACCTTAAGACATCTCATAAGACTACTTAAGGTGCACCCTTCACAATCCAAGCCCTTAGGATTTGTTCTATCACTTTTTACGCTAACATCCCCGGCTAGTATTTCTATACTAATCATTTAACCTTAATAAGCCAATGCAATTTCACAGTAATTTGGCTATTTCAATTTAATTCCACATTCAAGTATAACTTGGTTCTAATATCAAAATATCACTTTTATCCTTCCATGACTTCCTTACATGAGGTAAAAGTATATTTATCACAATTCATTTATAGTTTACACGCTATTATACCATTGTATTCATAATACATAATCATACACAATTTATTCATAAATTTGTATATTATGCACTTTTACTTATAAACAATAATAATCTCATTTAGGCATTTTGTTATATTATAAATAAATCATGCCAAACACATATAATTCATTTAGGTAATCTTATGAAATTAACCCAATAATTATAAGCAATATAGTCGGTCATCCTCACCTTAATTGAGCTTCAAACCTTTCTTTCTTGATCCCATGGTCAAAGCTTTGGCCAAGGAAGATTGAGAACTGATTCCTTGCTTGGAATTGAGTGTTAAACAGCCTCTCCAAAGTGCTAGTTCAACTCCTAACCGAGGACACAAAAACAGTCCCTAGAACGGGTGTTCCCGACGAAATCGTTCCCTAACCTTTCAAGGTTTTGTCTAGATTAGTATCTAACTTTTCCAACAATTAAAGTCACTTTATAATAACATTTTATACACTTCAATCAGTGTATAATAGTTCTTCAATCATTTATATGGTTTAGACAATAGAGAGGAAAGTTTTGGATTCAAACTTACCTTGAATACAAAAACGTATTCCGCGAGGTTGTGTTTTGCTCGGACGATTTGGAAGCCTTCCACTACTCCGATTGATGCAAACCAGACCTTCACGGATTCCTCGTCTTGAGAGCTTTCTGTGGGTATCTCGCACGCCTTATTTGGATGTGTATAACTCGAGATATGAAGCAAACAAGTAACCTTACGCACTGGAAAACGAACCTGCGGCAGCTTCCCCTTTCTCTTGCTTTCTTGGTTGTGTGGCTCTCTCCTTCTCCCTTATCCTTGGGAGTTCGAATGAGGGGCTTAAGGGAGTGTCCAAGACCCTTCAATAAGGGTGGATAAGTTGTGTGGAGTGAAATGAATTGGTATGGTCTCCATGAGATGTTTTTAGACATGGGTGGGTCTCACTTTTGATCTCTTTGTCATAAGATGTCTCTTTGTACTCATTCTAATTTATTTAGAACAAGTCAACTCTCTACATCATATTATTGATCTCCATTATGTGTATGATCATCCCAATAATTTACTTGATGGATATTATAGAAGGAAAATCCTACTCCCATTATTTAGCTCAATAATGCCAAAGATGGGGTTATAGGCATTTGTATTCTTCTTTAATCATTCTATCACTTATTTGACATTTGTCATACATATTAATGGGCTACTAGCCATGTGGGTCACTCCCGAGTGGGTCTAGAACGCCATTCTCGAATACTTGCTATTTTTAGCAGGTTGGACTCAAAATAACGTTTGGGCCGTCCGACCTTACTCGGACTGTCTTGAAAGGTCATGTATCACAATTTGGATAATGTTGGGCTCTTTTATTTATTAATAAGACCCAAAAAGTATTTGCATGCCCGTCACTAATATACGAGTTCGAACAGTACACTAATCGATCATTAATTACGTAAAACATTAATCGTTTTACAATTGTTTGGGAAACAGAAATCCAATACATAAACTTTGAATTTTTAAATCAAATTTTCAAGGACGTTCGGGCGCGGTGTCACAGAACCTATACAATGAAGATTCGTTATCAAGTTCCATACGGCTGATAAAGAAGCGCCTTACTCACGGGAAAACAGGAAGGTACCATTACCGGTGAGACGTGCTTTAAGCATCAAAACGACGTCTTATCCCCATCATTCATTCCTACTCAGAGGATACTGATCGAGAGCAGTTTGGAAAAGGAAAAGGCATTATTTGACGATTGCGAAGACTTCCAAGAAATAAGCCAGACCTACCCCATAGGTACAGAAGCTGATCTTGTCAGTTCCTGGGTAAAAGGCGCAGCATCAGGTCCAACTGCACATGCACAAGCCTCCCTTAGCCACTATGCTGCCTCCCAACAGGCAGCAATTTCAACATTACGGGAACTCATACCCACCTCTTTGCCCCCCACGAAGCAGTCGATGATATACTTAGTGGTTAACCGCCCCTGGCCACTATCCTTCCTTCAACCACGTTGAGTCTAGGTGTCACACTCCCTACATTTTCTGATTTTTCTAGGACACCTACACTACTCACACCACCCGGTACAAGTCCACTATACCTGTCTGCAACGATCGAAGATAAACTAATGATGATCGGAAGTCCTACTGCACAACAATTGATTCCATCATTATCTGCAGGCCACACACCAGTACTCTTTATTGATGGTGTGAGAACGATTTGCACCCCCGGCCCGCAACCGGAAACCTTGACCCTATAGCCTTTACTGACTTTCTGGATCGTTATCTTGAGTCCACCATAATGCCACAGGTGCACTCTGAAAAGCCGCAAGAGCAAGGACTCTAGACAAACCCAAGCGGTTCAGAATGATCAAATCCAACCCCAACCACAGCCCACACCCTCTCTCTCACAACCAAAATCAACCCCCACCTTATCCTTACCAACCTCTGAACCATCTGCCACCAAACCTCAAACACCTACCACATCTCGGGGAACCCAGGATACAGAATGTGTGTCCTCCCACCTCGACCACACCATACCCTAACCCTTATACCATTCCACTAGATGACCTAATCTCTATCATGCTAGCCCGACTTATATCAAAAGAAGACAACCTTAACCCCAAGCAGTTAGCCCATCTCAGTCTCCTTCAAACCCAAAGTGCATGTCGTGACAGCCTTCGCGACAACAAACGTTCGCATGAGGACCCCGATGATTCGGATCCTCATGAGGGGGAGAACAAGAGGAAACGGGTACTTGAGCATGGTGCTTCCTCTAGCCACTCACAACCGCAACCAAACCAACCCTCCTCTTCAAACAAACAACAACCCGGATCCTCCTCTCAACCCAAAACCCACACCACTCAACCCATAACATCTAGCTAGGTTGCACCAGATAGAACGTTTTTAGGCTCATCTTTCATAAATGTTGACCAGGAATGGAACGGAAATCCTGAGGTTGCTACTTCAAGTGCATTCATCTATTCAGACCATCAGTTAGAACCTAGTTCTAATCTGATGTTAACGGGCAATCACAGTGATCCCGATGTTACTATTCACAGGTCACCAAAGCTGAAAGCTCCCTTTAACCATCCAGGCCCATCAATCCATGATCAACTAGAATAGATTGTCCTTGACGAAAGATGGAATGGTGAATGGGCTGAATGGGATGACATCAGACAAGAGGTCGAGCAATACGACGTGTAGAGAGGATTCTGTTGAGTTTAATCCAACACGATATAGTAAATGTATGTATAAATGTGTATGAACAAGCTCAGTTTTTACGTGGAAACCCGAAAGGGAGAAAACCACGGGACTTTTTAGGCTAATGTCCAAGCCCTCTCTTTCTCATTAAGACTCTCCTCACCATTACATAGTACATTTTGAGCTCCCATTAATGGAGTCTTGTAACCTAACTAAGAAGGAGGGAGAAGAAGAAGGGATCCTTCATAAGGAGGGAAATCCTCCTATTTATAGGTAAAGGGGGAAAGGGGGCTCTCCACCCTAACGGGCCGGATGGGCCAAAGTGGGCCCAAAGGCCGAGACAGGCCTGATAGGCTAAAATGGGCCTTACTGATTGGGCTCCGTACTACATAAAGTCTTGGGCTCCTGAACATTAATAGGCCGGGATAATATATCCCAACACAAGTCCCCCAGTTTCTTGAGTAGTGAGCGTGCCAATCTGCTCGAGAAAATATACTCTTGTCTGCTCTCTTCCTCTGTCTTGCTGGAAACCGTGTCTTCGAATAATCATAATATAAGAGTGGGTGACTGCCCCTCTGAATATAACCTGCCGTTAAGGCGCTCCCCTCCCGGCGGGGTCAGGCAAGGGATGCTCTTCCTCGGACACTCTCCCCCTGAATGTATCAGGTGGGAGTAGAGGACTCTTACTCGAGCTTTCTAATGGAGAAGCTTATAGGTCCCTGCACAATATAAGCTGACGACGCGGAACTGGCAATACATGATGTATGTGTGTATGTATGAATGTATGAGGTATGATGCATGAATGTATGTATGCATGTAATGTATGAGTGCAATGTAAGATGTGGCTTAAAGTGGTAGATCTCATCGATAAACTGTACACGACGCCACCGAGGGGCCAATCGTGCTACATAAGATGGGTCCCCCATCCGGTACGCCATGGGCGGAGCCGAAGATGAACTAGACACGATGCCGCCGAGGGGCTAATCGTGCTGCATAAGAGACGTTCATCGCCATCCTGGAAGAGATGCGCGATTTGAACGTGGAAACGAAAAGATGGCGCTGAGGGGCCGATCGTGCTGCATAAGACGGGTCCCCCATCCTAGAAGGTATGGGCGGAGCCGAAGATGGACTAGACACGATGGCGCTGAAGGGCCGATCGTGCTGCATAAGATGGGTCCCCCATCCTAGAAGGTATGGGCGGAGCCGAAGATGAACTAGACACGATGGTGTTGAGGGGCCGATCGTGCTGCATAAAGACGTTCGTCGCCATCCTAGAAGGGATGGACGAGCCGAACAGGAGCCAGACACGATGGCGCTGAGGGGCCGATCGTGCAGCATAAAGACGTTCGTCGCTATCCTGGAAGGGATGGGTGAGCCAAACATGAGCCAGACACGATGGCGCTGAGGGGCCGGTCGTGCTGCATAAAGACGTTCGTCGCTATCCTGGAAGGGATGGGTGAGCCAAACATGAGCCAGGCACGATGGCGCTGAGAGGCTGATCGTGCTGCATAAAGACGTTCGTCGCCATCCTAGAAGGGATGGGCGAGTCGAACACGAGCCAGGCACGATGGCGCTGAGGGGCCGATCGTGCTGCATAAGACGTCCGTCGCCATCCTAGAAGGTATGAGTGAGCTGAACAAGAACTAGACACGATGGCGTTGAGGGGCCGATCGTGCTGCATAAGACGTTCGTCGCCACCCTGGAGGGTATGAGCGAGCTGAACAAGGACTAGACACGATGGCGCTGAGGGGCCGATCGTGCTGCATAAGACGTTCGTCGCCACCCTGGAGGGTATGAGCGAGCTGAACAAGGACTAGACACGATGGCGCTGAGGGGCCGATCGTGTTGCATAAGACGTTCGTTTCCACCCTGGAAGGTATGAGCGAGCTGAACAAGGACTAAACACGATGGCGCTGAGGGGCCGATCGTGCTGCATAAGACGTTCGTCGCCACCCTGGAAGGTATGAGCGAGCTGAACCATAAATCCTGGTGCTGTCCTTCCTGTCTCATATGGGCAGCTGATCTTCGTTCGTCTACCGTATCCGTGGTCCTATGTACAGACCGCTAAGCGGTGTACACTCTGCACGCAACAGACTTCGGTAAAGAACTGGTCCCTCCTATCTGATCTAGAGAGCTGGTCTTCATTCGTCTACCGTATCCGTGGTCCTATGTACGGACCGCTAAGCGGTGTACACTCGGCACGCAACAGACTCTGGTAAAGAACTAGTCCCTCCTGTCTGATCTGGGGAGCTGGTCTTCGTTCGTCTACTGTATCTGTGGTCCTATGTACGGACCGCTAAGCGGTGTACACTCGGCACACAACAGACTCCGATAAAGAACTGGTCCCTCCTGTCTGATCTGGGGAGCTAGTCTTCGTTCGTCTACCGTATCCGTGGTCCTATGTACGGACCGCTAAGCGGTGTACACTCGACACGCAACAGACTCCGGTAAAGAATTGGTCCCTCCTGTCTGATCTGGGGAGCTGGTCTTCGTTCGTCTACCGTATCTGTGGTCTATGTACGGACCGCTAAGCGGTGTACACTCAGCACACAACAGACTCCGATAAAGAACTGGTCCCTCCTGTCTGATCTGGGGAGCTAGTCTTCGTTCGTCTACCGTATCCGTGGTCCTATGTACGGACCGCTAAACGGTGTACACTCGGCACGCAACAGACTCCGGTGGAGAACTGGTTTACCCCGCCAGAGTTCCCGTTTTTCGTTCACTACCTATCTGTGGTCCTACGTACTTCCCGCTAAGCGGAGTACGCTCGGCACGCGACAGACTCGTGTAAAGAACTGGTTTATCCTGCTAGGATTCCCAAGTCTCAGGTTCTAAGCCCGTCCCCCTCTATCGTTTTTTTCTTTTGTATGGCTCGTTTGCTTTTTTTTTTTGCTTTTTTTTTTTTTGCTTTTTTTTTTGTTTTTGAGGGGGGGAAATACGTTCGTCGGTTCCAAGAATGAATACAAGTGATGTCAAATCTGATGGTGGTGGGTTACCGAAACGAATATAATGACGAAGCGATGTAATTGCTGGTCATCATGCGAAGGCGATGGTCACCATCCGGGAGGGGAGTGGTGAGCCCGATCGCTAACCAAAGAAGGTCGGCATTGGGAACTGATATACAGGTAATCATAATGTCACTGAGTAGTCGGTCCTGATAAGAAGATGACAATGGTGTCAAGTCAGACCAAAACATCCGAGCAACGGCTCTCATCCGCGCAGCGCGGGGATGAAACCGGTCTTCAAATATGATGGTGGCACCGTATCAGGGGGTCGGTGGTCATGTAAAAATGTCGACACTGGGGACTGACCAGAGAGTATCAAGCAACGACCCTCATCCGCGAGGAGCGGGGATGAGGCCGGTCTTCAAATATGAAAAGCACGCCGAGCCGGGAGGCTGGTCGTGATATAATGATGTCGGCAATGAGAGGCCGACATGACAGAATCAAGCAACGGCCCTCATCCACGAAGGGCGGGAAGAGGCCGGTCTTCAAAAGATAAACACGTCGTGCCGAGAGGCCGGTCATGATGTAATGATGTCGGCAGTGAGAGGCCGACCTGAAAGAATCAAGTAACGGCCCTCATCCGCGAGGAGCGGGGACGAGGCCGGTCTTCAAAGGATGAACACGCCGTGCCGAGAGGCCGATCGTGATATAATGGTGTCGGCGCTGAGGGGCCGACAGAGAGAATCAAGCAACGGATCTCATCCGCGAGGAGCGGGGACGAGACCGGTCTTCAAATATGGAACACACGCCGTGCCGAGAGGCCGGTCGTGATATATAATGGTGTCGACGCTGAGGGGCCGACAGAGAGAATCAAGCAACGGCTCTCCTCCGCGAGGAGCGGGAACGAGGCCGGTCTTCAAATATGGAACACACGCCGTGCCGAGAGGCCGATCGTGATATATAATGGTGTCGACGCTGAGGGGCCGACAGAGAGAATCAAGCAACGGCTCTCCTCCGCAAGGAGCGGGAACGAGACCGGTCTTCAAATATGGAATACACGCCGTGCCGAGAGGCCGGTCGTGATATCATAGTGTCGGCAATGAGAGGCCGACAGAGAGAATCAAGCAACGGCTCTCCTCCGCGAGGAGCGGGAACGAGGCCGGTCTTCAAACATGGAACACACGTCGTGCCGAGAGGCCGGTCGTGATATCATAGTGTCGGAAATGAGAGGCCGACCTGATGTAAGGATGGTCTCACGGCCCTCGGTCGTGATGGTCTCCTCTAGGCCCTCGGCCTCTGAATGATGGATGATCGTCTCACGGTTTTCCGCCGTGGTAGTCCCCTCTAGACCCTCGGCCTCTAGGTGTTCTTTCCTAGGCCATCGGTCTCTGGGGTGGAGATGCTCGTCTCGCGGCTCTTAGCCGTGATGGTTTCCTCTCAGCCCTCGGCCTTTTGGGGAAGTATGAACGTCTCGCGGCCCTTTGCTTTAGCCGGTTGGAACGTCTTCGGAACTCATGCCGAGCGTCATTTAATCTTCTGCTCGAACGCATCGAGCGACCTTGACTGCATAACTAACATGGTAACGGGCCGCACGGCCCGACAATATATATACATAGCCATCTGCGTGGTTTTCTTTTTTCAACACCCACGATTACCGGCCTATGAGTTACCGTGACCCTCGACCTGGCTCATCGTGTGGGGTTCTCGAACACGGTTGCCCGTGGTGGGGCCACTTAGCAGCCCGCCGAACGTCTCATAAAAATAATCATTGGTCTGTGAGTTTGAGAACTCAGACTCACGCTTGTCGCACTACCCTCGAAAAACGAGGTTGAGCGCTTTGGTGACCTCGGGCCCCATAGGCCGCGTTAGCAACAATCACTTCGCGCCTCATGGCGTAGATGGTACTAGGGTACGATTGTCGATCAGGCATTGATGCCATGCGGACTAATGCACAACCCCAACTTAAGAAGCGTCATCGGGGCACTGCCCTCTGGAGACGTTCGGATCGCTTAATCAAGCTGATCGAGAGTGGGCCAACGGCCCCACAAACAATTAAGTATTTAATAAAAACATTGGCTGAAGTAGCCATCACCAGAGGTTCGCTCCGTACTATTTAATTCGGGACATTTTTTATCCCTAATAAATAATAGTGATACGACAGGTAATAATACTGACATTACCTGCCACAGGCCATTCAGATACGCTCCGCTCGCTAATTAAAGCCGGTCGGGAGCGGGGCGACGGGCCCACAACAACCAGTCATTTAATTTAATGACGGTGAAACTAATTATCCCTAGAGCGTCGTTCGACATTATTTAATTTTGGGAGGTTTTAATCCCTAATAAATAATGGTGATAAAACAAATTAACTAATAATAATACTAGTGCAAATACGAAGCATTTTAACTAAAAATCATAAGCAAGAGTACTTAGCTTTTAGAAAGGATGCTCGGCCAGATAGGAATTCCTGAAATTAATTTGGTTCCTTTAGCAATTTTGACTTGGTCAAGATGCTCCAAAGCTCATCCCTCACCACCTTTCATTCTCTTTCACGTGGCCCTCTGAGGGCCAAGCCATATGAATGATATGCAGTACTTCGTATCTTTTGGAAAGATCAAAGCAAGACCCACTCGCCATCCCAAGGACAACCGGTGTCATGTCCGCTTGCTGGCGGTAGTCAAGGAGGTCGACGCGGCGTAAGGACGGTCAGAAAGGATAATCTCCGGTGTAAGATCGGCTGGAACTTCGTAATATATCTTTCCTGACTTCCCACCCGCCATTAATGGCGGAAATCAAGAAGTCTCAGTCGGAAAATCCCTCAGGCCGCGTCGGGGGAGGGGCTGGTGACGGCTTGAGCAGAGACCAACCAAGTGGAGTAGCGGCGGTGTGGCGGCCCAGGCGGTAGAACCAGCCGCCGGCGATGAGCTACCTGTCGGAGACAGAGTTTTATTATTAATCGGGACGATGAGACCTGGGGCGCTGCAGTGAGTTTCGCCTGGTGCATGTTAGCCCGCTAGAGGTTCCTTGGCGGCGGGGACGTGAAGGTGGCTCCGGCGGTCCCAACAAGGTCTGGAAAAATCTAAATGTAGACCTCCAGATCTCGTAGCTTCCTTACTTCCCAGAAGCATATCTCCAGAATCGTTTCTTTTTCTTTCGTCGAATCCAGTTCATCCGTATGAATTTTTTCATAGAAATGAAGAACAACGTAAATCTTTTTGGACAGATTCCCACAGACGGCGCCAGTGTTGAGTTTAATCCAACACGATATAGTAAATATATGTATAAATGTGTATAAACAAGCTCAGTTTTTACGTGGAAACCCGAAAGGGAGAAAACCACAGGACTTTTTAGGCTAATGTCCAAGCCCTCTCTTTCTCATTAAGACTCTCTTCACCATTACATAGTACATTTTGAGCTCCCATTAATGGAGTCTTGTAACCTAACTAAGAAGGAGGGAGAAGAAGAAGGGATCCTTCATAAGGAGGGAAATCTTCCTATTTATAGATAAAGGGGGAAAGGGGGCTCTCCACCCTAACGGGCCGGATGGGCCAAAGTGGGCCCAAAGGCCGAGACAGGCCTGATAGGCTAAAATGGGCCTTACTGACTGGGCTCCGTACTACATAAAGTCTTGGGCTCCTGAACATTAATAGGTCGGGATAATATATCCCAACAGATTCTATATTAGAGAGCTGTTGAACACATGCGCTGCAGACCTGATCAGACTAAAAAATGAAGAACTCGAAGAAGGGGAAGATTACAACAAAGCTCCAACTGAGCTACCCAAGGTTATGAGAAGGACAAGAACTCCGCCACCAAAGAATGAGAAGCCTTGGGAAAATATCACTATCAATGATATGCCCCCTTCCAAGAGGAAACCGAGAAGCATATTTGGAGAAAGCCTGATAAAATCGGAGAGTTTGATGAATTGAAAGCCAGAGGCCTTATACATCTGAAAGGAAAGGAAATTGGCGGACATCTCCATATGCTCAGCCATCGATCCATTGAAAAACAACGAGAGGTCATTGAGCACGACCTAAAGACGAGCAAATATCCAATATGGAATATCTTGAACAAGTCCAAAGGAGATCACCACGGAGTGTCACGCCCCAGACCGCAATCTAAGCGCGTGAACAACCGTCGTATAATCGAGTGACGTCACCCGCGGGTCAACCTCACTTAATCATGCAAGGCGTTCGAGAAAACAATCCATCCATACTCAGCAGTAAACATACATAACAACATCACAATTAAACCATTGAACATCGGAAATATTCAGCAATAATTCATAAGCCACATTCGATCAATAACATAGGCATGCAAGCCCAAAAGTAGTTTATAACAAATAAAAATATCCATGGGCAATGTTTAGTAATTTGGAAGAAAATGAGGAAGCACGAACCACGTCTTCCTTGAATTTGATGTCACCCGTAGAAAGGTGCAGGTAGCAAGCCCTAGCTTCAACCTGAAAATGGTGCCCCCCCCCCCCCCTCCGAAGGGGTCAGTACAAGTACCGAGCGAGTAGCAGGCTAAATATAGAATAACTAGCGTTCCAAGCATAAGACCCAAACATAGGGTGATACTTATATAAATAGTCTTTTCCCCTAAGTTAAGAAATACTTAATAGTATATATACACTTGGAAAATATCCGATCCGTAGATCACCGTTTTATTTTGAAAAAATAGTAATAGTCAATATCCTTGAATAAAAACCCCAACTCACCCATATAACTATGAGTGTATAGGACTCCTCCTTGTCCATATTTCAATATCATAACCTATGAGTTTTGAGGATAACATAATCCTTGGGTACTCCACCAATTTTATATTTGAGTGTTAAGAACTTTTAGTCCTAGGGTCCTCCACCAATTTATTATCCGAGTGTTAAAGACTTTAAGTCCCAGGGTCCTCCACCAATTTATAATCCAAGTGTTAAGGACTTTAATTCCTAGAGTCCTCCACCAATTTATAATCCGAGTGTTAAGGACTTTAAGTCCTAGGGTCCTCCACCAATTTACAATATGAGTGTTAAGGACTTTAAGTCCTAGGGTCCTCCACCAATTTATAATCCGAGTGTTAAGGACTTTAAGTCCTAGGGTCCTCCACCAATTTACAATATGAGTGTTAAGGACTTTAAGTCCTAGGGTCATCCACCAATTTATAACATGAGTGTTAAGGACTTTAAGTCCTAGGGTCCTCCACCAAGTTTATAATCCTATGATCAACCTCCTGTCAACATAGATAGAGTCTATATCATATTTATTCATTCATAGCTAAATCAATCCATAAAGCTTATGTATCTCAATCCATGTGAAACCATGCACTTATTTAGATTTATAATTAACTAATACCAACCGGTATTGGTTAATCCATTATCAATCGGTCAACGTTATCGTTGACCGTTATTTCAAGTCTCATACGTATAAACTTAATCACATATATATATATATATATATATATATATATATATATAAAGTTAATAACCTTCATTTGTGCTTCTCTTACACATCAAACAATATGCATTTCAATATAATTCCTCACATCATATTTCATGAATAAACAATTAATTCATTTCATACAACCTTAACCATGTTGGTCAATCACATGTTTAAATACCTTTTAAACATCATTATGAACACATATAACATTTATTTAGGTAATCTCATAATTAACCCAAAAGTTATAAGATATTAAGCCCTCCACTCACCTTGAATTAGCGCTATGAAGTTCTACCCTCCTCGGTTGAACTCCGGCGAAACTCCGACGACTTTTGGCGAACTCCGGCGACAACTCCGACGACTCTTTCAACTTTGTGAAAGCCCTTGAAATACCTTAATCAAGCTCCTAACAAGGTTTTATAATCATAAAACCCATATTAATACAAATAACCCCTAAAAGTTTATTTTCCGGCGAACCGGTCGTTTTGGCTCCTAAGTCCGTTCTTGGACATAGAATCACCTCTCAATCCTTCTTTCTACATTTGTAAATATGTAGAGATACTCAAAGGGTTCCTTACATGCTATGTAAGTTATATGGTAGTTAATAAATGGAGGAAAAGTTAATATAAGGTCATTACCTTAATTATCCACACTTTTCCCAACTTTTTCCCTCTTTAATCCTCCTCTTTGGACCACTATAGCTTGAGCTCGAATTTGGGCGTAGAAATGGTGAATTTCAGAGCTTCCTCTTGCTATCCTTGGGTGTTGGTTCGAGTGGATGGAGATGTTGAGGTGAGAGGGATGGTTTTTGTCTCAATTAGACAAATGAGTGGGGTGGAGGTCCACCTTTAGTCCTTTCTTACCCAATACATCACCCTCAGCCCCTTTCCTATTATTTACAACTCCCATTTGACAATCTCAGCACCCAAAAATGTGGGGTGTCCCCCACTCATGTGGGAGGTCATCCATTTGTGTCCCAAAATGTACATTCGGCCCCGAAAGTTGTATTTTTCGGACTGTTTTAATTATATTTTATTTTATCGGGTCAAATAAAATGTATTATGTGTTCTCAATCATAAATGGACTTTTGAAATAATATATATTCCAAAACTTTAATTTAGAAGTCTCTGAAATTCATTTTCGGGTTGTTATCTGTTAAATTGCGCCAATACTGGCAATTGGGCCTAGTTTGACCAATCGATCAACATTATGCCTTTACTTTGGCCCAAATAACGTATCCACCACTATATGAATATTATCTCGACCCATAAGAATAATTTACGTGATCTCTGGAACGTCGGGCGGCCCCCGCTCCCGGTGCGGGCCCCACGTGCAAATTTGCTATTCACGTGAAAGAATTAATAAAAATTTACAACTTCACAAATTCATAAACCATTCCATAAGGTTCAATACATTATTTACTTAAAAGTAAATATAATTTGGGGACGGTGTTACACGGAGTCAGTCTCTCGATATACCGACTGCAACGAACTGATGGATCGGACGGAGTTCACCTGTCACCAAAATGACTTATTTATGCTCAAAATGGACGACATCTATCAAATGTCTATGGCCTACACGAACCTCTCCATTAGGAATAACAAAGTCCTCAAAGAAGGATACGACGCAATAAGAAGATTCATGTTGAGACAAGCTAGAGTTCATTTTACTCATGATCTTCGGATGGCTCTCGAGAACAACGTTCCTGAGGCAAATCTCCCCAAGCCAATACTATACAGACCAAGGCTTGAGCAATATCCACCTCTCTTTATTTTTATAATCCGGTCGCGATAGCCTAACTCAAACACGAAGAGAAGAAACGCCTAATGCGGATGGATGAGATTGTCAAATATTGTGACGGGACACTGAATATCATAAGAGATAAATTGCTTCTGCTGAAAAACGACATCGAACAAAGACTTGTCAATGCTAGTGAAGAATAGATTACAGAACACAAAAGAATAACCAAGGTGCTAGTCGCAATCAATGAGCGACTTGAGAAACGAAGATCGCTATGCCAATACGAGCATGTTCTGGCACTGAGGAAAAACTACTTCCAGAGGCAGAAATGAATAAGAGCTGAAAAGAGTACATCTGATCACAAAGGGGCGGAATATTAAAGATATTATATGTTGTGATAAATGTTTATTATTATTAGCCTCTTGTTGTACTTAATATTGTATAGGGTAACACTAATTAGTTAAAGGTGCACAGAGGAATAAATGGGCCGCCTTGAAATAAAGGACCAATCATTGCAAAACCTATCCATTCCCTAGGTTATAAATATGCCTTTAAGGGAATGGATTGGGCAACTTTTGACATGCCTCACCAATATTTTCCTGTGCATAACATATCTGAGAGTGAGAGAAGAGAGAAATTTCTACGCTGAAGTTCTTCATCATTGTAAATTTTCTCCTTCAATGAAAGCCATTCTTATTCATATTTGATAGCTCCATTCCATACATTTTCTAGTAGAAAACAGGGACCCAACAAATTCCACTTAAATCCATAAAATCCACAATTTTAAAAACTATCAAAATCATTGTTGGGGACACCCCTTATTTATCTTTAAAGTCTAAAGTATGGTGCTGAAGTGAGTTTTGCCTTAATATTGATGTGTGATGTTATCGTGCTTTTTATGGTGGAACAAGTGTTATAGTTATAAAGTGAGTATTCAAGCTCGAGTAGATGGACTGGAGTCTATCAACGAGTCGAGCTTGAGCTATAAATAAGTTTAACAAGCCTAGTTCAAGCTCATATATAGAATTGAATTTTAACGAGCCAAGCTCGAGCCAGACTCGAAAAAAATACGACTCGAGTTCGAATTTGTGATACTCGAGCTCGACTCGGCTCAAATAACAGCACTACACCTGATCATCCTTTTGACTAAACTCAAGAACTATTCTACCTAGCCATTCGATTTTATTTGATTGTGTCAATGTGTTGATACTCCATATACTAGTGGGTTTTTTCGTCATAAAACAAAAGGTCAAGAGTTTTTGAAGTCGTGAAAAATGAATGAATAGTTGAATTTGTATATGAAAAAAGGAACCCCCCCTCGTGAAGTTGTCACCATAGGGCATCTATGCCCCTCAACTTTATTTTTGTGCAAAAAGCTTTAAAATCTGTGAAAGGAGGGCAATTACCCTCTTTATTTTTTTAACGGTGAACCATGCAATTGTTAAAGTTGCTGATAAGAGACTCATAGTCCCGCCCCAGACCAAGTTAAATGGATCGAAACAGGCCAGGATTAGAAATAGGAGCATTAATACCAGCTAAGTTATCAGCAATAACTTTAATGCCTCTGAGATAATGTTTCATGGACTTAGTAGGACCTTTCCTAGAATGTGACAACTGACGTTTCAACTCCATGAAAACGGGCAAGACTAGCAGATATAAAGTGGGATTCTAAACGATTCCAAATAGCAGAAGCATTCTTTAATTCTTGCACTTCAATTAAGTCATCACGAGACAATGTAGCAAATAGCCAAGACCGGACAGTTTGAACAAGTTTAAGCCAAATACAATAATCAGGATTGATTGTCTCATGATGAAAAGCATAAAAAATATAGGGAGGAGCAGGAATCGAACCATCTAAAACGCCCAAAAAACCATTTGAGACTAGAAAAGACTCAAATTGAATACGACAAGACAAATAATCCTCAACAGCAGTCAGTTTGCTGGTCACAATGTTGGTAATATGAAGAGCAGAAAAGCCAATGTTCTTAACTAAATCGCTCAAAATCGAACCAGCACTGGTGACAACAAGTCTGGGAGCTATTGGATTATGGGAAGAAATCGGTGCTACTCCAGGTCCCTAACAAAGTGTCGGACTGGCTGAAGAGAACAGTGTCATCCATTGCTGAGATAGATACTGAGAAGTCAGGAACAAAGAAGCACAAACGACAGATGAAGCCGAAGAGGACGAACCACCCGGGGTAAAACGGGCGCTGAAGATAGACCGGGTTGGAAGACACCTGCATGGAATCCATCATCGTTGCAGCCGTGGAAGAGACCTGCGCCTGGAAGAGACTTGTGCCGAGGTCATGGTGGCGGAAGTTTGTGGCTCGGCGGAAGACATGATAAAAAAAATAGGTTTTAGATGGTGTGGCTCTTGATAGCATGTGAGAATAATACCAGACTTGGCCTTAATGGTAGCCCTGACAAATATATAAATAGGAAAACAATTGTTATAATTACAATAGGAGTCCCACAATAATTATTAATAATAAACTACTCTATTAAATACTTCATCCGTTCATAAATAAGTGTCAAATTCTGCTCTTCATGTTTGTCAATGCATAACTTTGACCATCAATATTTACTTTATTCGTATTAGACAACCGGGCTAACATCTTAGCAAGAAAATTTCTCTCAAATGTAGTGCTTTTAGGTATAAGATTAGTTGGCTAACAATTAAGCGGAAGTGTTTTCTCTCTCATATGTATTGTTTTAGTATAAGAACAAAATGTATAAGATAAGTTGACTTACAGTTGTGCAAATAATTTTCTCTCTCATATGTAGCGCTTTTAGGTATAAAACGAAGATAATCTTGCTAATAATTGAGCATAAGAAGTTTCTTTCTCATACGCAGCATTTTTAGTTATTTTATACATAAAAGAACCACATATGAGAGAAAATTTCTCCTCTCAATTGTTAGCTGAATTATCTTATATCTAAAAGCATTACGTATAAGAAAGATAATTCTACCGCTTAATTGTTAGCCATATTTTCTCTCATATGTTAGCACTAATTTAACTAATGATTTTATTGGATGTCCCCGAAGGGACTTTCAAAAAAACTAATGATTAACAAGTTCTTATTGAACTAATATTTGTTAATTTTAATATTTATTGTATTTACTTGAATTGTATGTCATTCACTTTTAATGCTCACTTTTTAAGAATAGTATTTAATTTTAAAATTAATTTAATCATTAAAATTAATAGAAAACAAATTCTAATGAGTGTTGTCAATTACTTATTCCTAATATACTCTTCATTCAATATTTTTTGTATGGCTTATACTTATGATATTAGCTTATCGCACTTTTATTTTTCGGAAATAACTTTTAAATAATAAAAGTTAATTTTATTTTAATATTTAATTAGATAATGAGTAAAAACATATGCATTGACTGCTATTCTCCGTGCATATGCACGGGTACTATACTAGTATATAAATAGGAAAACAAGTGTTATAATTACAACAGGAGTCCCACAACAATTAATAATAATAAACTACTCTATTAAATACTTCATCCGTTCATAAATAAGTGTCAAATTCTGCTCTTCATGTTTGTCAATGCATAACGTTGACCATCAATATTTACTTTATTCGTCCCTAAATTAGCTTCCAAAGTGGGTTTTGCATGCGATTAAGAAAGAGAAAAAAGTGTGGCGGAGAGTTTTACCGAAGAAAGAGAAATAAGTGAAATGTGTAAAAAATGTTATGAACCATAATTTCTTTGTCAAATTTATGATAGTTTTTTTTAGCCCGGAAAGCCAACCACCAAAATCAGCGGGGTAAATCCCGGGCAACATTTACCAGATTTTATTGAAATCATGGGAAGTACAATAAGAGGGGGACTAGGCCAATACCTCTTGAAAACAGTCAAATTTATGATAGTAGTAGTAGTAATAGTATCAAAGATACTACTTCTTCGGTAAAGAACCATAAAAAAGGAACTTGAAAGATAATTTAGGGACTGAACGAATATTATTCTTATTAGCAAAAAGAATCATATTCTAATAAATATCAAAGATCGAGATACTCTCAAATTTA